AAATTTCCAATAAAAGAGAAAACGAAATAGGAGCAATCAGTGCAAGAAGGAAAGATACTGAAGATAAGAAATATTATAAAATATAATTTTTGGTCTTAAAGGGATTTTTGAGGGAAAAATAAATTGAATATAAGAGAAATTTAAGACAATCTAGTAAGCCATGGCCATTACAAAGCAGTAAAAATACCATAATAATGTTTATAATCTATGGCTCAATTTCTCAACGTGAAATTTAAAAATCTGAAGCCAAAACAAGCGAAATATCTAGAAATTCGAAAATGAACCGAATAACTTGGAAAAATTAAAACAGAACAAAAGGTTTCGGAAAATAAAAGTGAATAAATGTGCTAAAAATGAGGATAGACAATACGGTAAGTGCAATCAAGTTCAAAATCAAATTCAAATTCTTACACCAGACAATATCAATTTGCTCATATAAAAACATGCACTTTTTCTGGGGAGACAACGAGAATAGTAATAAATACTATTCGTTAAACGATGCGGAGAATTTAATTTTGCGATTTAAAATACCAGGTGCAAAAATCGTCATTGTGAATTTTTCAGATAAGTGTGAAGATGCACTTCCGTCAAAAATATGCGTCATACTACTCGAACCAGATGCCATCAAGTCTCATCATAAATCTCATCTACTTCATTACAGCATGGAATATGTTCATATCGGATAGTGTATTGCATCAATCATTTCTTTTGCTTTAAAAAAACTTCATGAAAATAATCATGGTCAATGTCAGCTTAGTCAAAAGTGTAACGATCGGAAATGCATCCTAATCAAATGATAATCAAGAACAAAAAGAGGAAACATGAATTGTACATGGGTGTGTATAAATTAAGTAAAAAGTAATAACAAGCATGAAAACCGGACAATGAGCAAGCTAAGAAAAAAAAAAAAAACGAGGGCCACAACTACTACTGATAAAAACTGCTACATTCAACGAATGATGGAATATACTGGGGTATTTGGCTCGATAAAGCTGACAAAAATTGACAAACATAATCAAAAGAATATACAATGAGAGAAGGATGATATATCGTACCGTAAATATGGTGGTGAAAACTTCGTGGTTGCAGAATATTAGAGGATTTTTCTTCGATGATATTAAAGAAATTAGCTGTTACAAACCAGAAGTCTTAATCATGGCGCCCCCTCACACAGCTTATCAAAAAAAAAAAGAAAAAAAATCTGGAAGACAGTCATTTATCAATCTTATAGGAACTTAAAGGTCCCATCAACTCCAGGAAAAACTATAGTTTTACTAAGCCTAATTATTACTATATAAAATGAAAACAGTATCATTCTATTTTAGGTTAACGATACTGTCCCCCAAATTGAGTAATACATCAAGGAAATAAGAGACTTCTGACGCCAGATGTAATATATGCAAGGAAAAGCAATAGGAGACTTCCAGGAAGCTTAAAACCAAACGAAAAAAATGAGTAGTAACAGAAATATGGCAGTATGTAATGAAAGTTGCAGTAGTTTTTGCCCAGATACAAAAGAAATTTCGCCATCGTACCAAGGTTCGGATTCAAGCTTTCTTAACCGTCAGTTCTTAACATACCGGAAAAACTAACACTGAGTAATAATGAGAACCCGAAATTCATTAATCGGCGTCAGTTACCAAGTATTCTGTGCTATGACTTCCTCACTGTAACAAGTAAATCCAAATACTCCTCATATCAAGCTGGTCCAGACAAATTTATATAAATTTTCTGCTGTGTTAAGAAACGCAAAACAACTCAGATGCAAAGATCGCATGAGTGACATGGATGACAACAAAACAGTGAATTAAAGAAGGAAGAGGACGGAAGGAAAAAAATTGACCGTACATGATGCGGCTATTAATAATTCATATCATTCTTATGTCAGCTTATAGGTGTTTATGGTGTGCGTAACGAGTTACGCACCACACGAAAAACATGAACACCCGAACGAGTTTCACGGAAATGAGAGAGAATAAATATATTGTAAACAAAGATTTAAATGGACAAGTAAACAAAATTTGAAGACAACACGCTGAAATATGAGATCAATACAGTTTGAAACAAATTTTCAAAAACAAATGGTTTCAAAACATCCCTATTTTTAATTTTTTCTTTTTTTTTGTTTTAATCTAAACAATTCGAAGACAAAAAAGGTAAAAGAAAACAAATGAAAGAAATGGTGTATATGGATTGATTCCTCTTCCTGTATAGATGTGCAAGCAGAATGTTTGTAGAAAAATCAGACAAAATAAAACACTGAATAGTTTTAAGCTAACAAAAATTTTCATCTTTGCTCACAAATTTCCACTCGGGTAATTTTCCTCTCTGAATTTTCTTCACCCAAATATCGCATCACATGCTTACTCGGAGTTTTTAAAATTTTGCCTAAATTGGACAAATAAAAAACGAATGAACTCCAGAAATACGTTTTTCTGTAAACCACGAATGATGAATTTCTGCGCTCAAAACAAGGCCATCTCTAATACACATGTTAGTTAGGCGAACTATAAAAGTTCCCTAAATTAATAGTTATAAACTCAATTTCAAATTAGAAATGAAACAATAGAACTATTTCAAGAAGAGACAAACAAACAAATGGGTCTGGATGGGAGTAAATAGCGATAAAACAGTGGTTGTAATAATATGCAAAACAAAGTGAGCATTCAATAAGGCAAAACGATAATAATGATTTTAAAACTGGAGAAAATTTTTTTTTTGAAAAACAGAATTTGGAAAAAGAAACTAAATAAAAGGCATGACAGAAGGAATTGAAAAGACAGCAAAATATTTTCTGAAAACACTTAATAAGGAAGGAAAGTAAAAAAGCGCAAAGTTTGGCCAAAAAGTTCGAAGAAAATGTTCTATATCAAATAAGCTTGTTCCCAACCGATAAAAAAGAAAAAAATAATTAACGCATCAGTTACTTAGCACAAAAAATTTGGAAAATGATAACAGTGATGGGGAGAATAGAAAGACGAAAGGATTTTAAAAATAACAATCAAAAAAAAAAAATGAAAAAATTGAAATTGGGTATACAGTAGTTTCATGCACCATACGGTACATTTCTGACGCATATCACAACAGGGGATCGTTTCAGGAAAAAAAGCTAGAAAAGTAAACATCGCGTACATGCGTGCGTGTGCTTACAAATTTATCATTTGAAACAATGTAGCGAAAACCTCATACCACAGTCAAAAACTGAGTATTAGGTGAGTTATTTGAAATGGTTTGATTTTAGCAATCTTGGCACCTTTGTAAGTCTCCTAAATCAGCCAAAACGCACACAATAAGAATCACAATTTAGTTTATTTCTGATTACCCTGATCGTATAAGTCACCTATTTCCTGAGCTAAGGTCATGTGGAACAAAATTTTCGCTAGTTCTGCAGTATAAATACAGTATCCAACTATAAGCATTACGAATAAGAATAAAAAAGAAAAAAAAGTGAGTAATAAGGCAAACTTTGAACGAGCACCGTTATATGTACCACAGGTTTAAGTTGATGATCGATATCCAGAAGCCAATACAATGGCATTGCTTTCGATCCGAAAAGGAAAAGTGTTTGAGAGTTATTGCTGCTACTGTTGTTAGAAGAAAAGTTTGAGAGGATTTCTTAAAGGGGAGCTGGGGGATTCACGAAGACTGTACTGAAGATAAGAAGCGTATGGTTGTGCTTCGATACTGAGATCAAAAAACCTTCTGACGTTAGACGAAGTCCAACACAACGCGAAACCTGAAAAACGATAAAAGATATAACATTCACTAGAACTAACTGTGATAATTAAAAGTTGTTTAATAGTTGATAGTGAGAACAGATAATAACGAAACTGATAATGGAGCTTCAAAATTGAGAACACAAGCTGTCGATGAACTTTGATTCAACTCATGAAATCCTTGTAAGATTAGACAGCATGAATCCCTCTGTCTTAAAAAGTTATGCTTTGGTGAGTGGCGTGAAAGAGCGAGTGATAATGCTACTTTTTTTAGTTAGAAATGAATAAGTAAGTAGCATATTATTTATCTGCATTGGGAAGGAAAGAGGCGAACTCCAAAGTCAATCCTACGTCTTGAGTAAATCGCATTCTGCTTATTACATAAACATGTTATGCAAATTAGAGCTATAAAATGCATTAGTAAATGCTAATCGGAAGGAAGATTTGGTAGTAAATACAATTTAGTGATCGTCCAGAAATTCAAATTCATACTAAAATTTATTTGCTTTCCAGTTTGCACTATTTCAGCCTCTCAAAACGAAATGCTTGTAAAACAATTATGAAACAACTACATAAATGCCTGTTTTCACTTGGAACTTGATTAACTGTGC